GAGTGGGGCAGAAGCAGGAGTGGTCCTGGCCGGGCAGGGCTCTGAGACCTCCCGGGCCGGGGCCGGCTGTCGGTCACTGTCATTGCAGAGCCAGACAGCGCAGGCATCCAGGGAAACCAAGACACTCATGCCACCTCCCCAAGTGAGGGGCTGGTGTGCCACACTGTGGAAGGCCAGCACAGGCTCCGGAAGAGTCTGGGTATGAAGGGCTCCCCACCACCACGGCCTACTACCCAGACACCACCCAGGTCTCCCCCCAGGATCTTGCCCAGGGCTGAGGGGCAACTCAGCACCCCCGGCTCTGACCTGGAGCACCATGCCCACCTCCTGGGGATTCAGGAAGAGGACCAGGAGCCCCCCGAAGCAGAGCCCAAAGGTAAGAAGGGCGGGGCTGGTGCGGGTGTGTAGCTGAGGGAGGGCGGAGGGCTGGGTCACACAGGGAGGCGTCCCCAGAGGCTGCTGTTGGGACCAGAGCAAAGACTGGCCTCAGACCACCTGTCTGGAAGAATTCACTCACAGAACACATCCTGTGGGCACTTGCTCAGTGGGAGCTGTCTGCAAAGCTCTGAGAAGATTTCTGTCCTTGGAAAGGCACATGGAAAGGGAGGCATGTGGGTACCTTTTTCCATTCTGAAACCTGAGCACAACCACTAGAATTAAAGCTCTCTCTATGTCCAACAGTTACAGGTCCAGAGCAGGCAGGGGCAGGGGAAGACGGCACAGAAAAAAAGCAGGACCACCAGGATCCAGCAGGAGACCGTGAGCTCCCTCCTGCTGCACCTGCTGATCTTGCTGCTCCTGAAGATAATGCAGCTCCTGCTGATCTAGCCGGTCCTGAAGGGCTTGCCGCACCTGAAGAGCCTGCTGCTCCTGCTGACCTAGCCACCCCTGAAGAGCCTGCCACTAGTGAAGAGCCTGCCGATCCTGAAGAGCCTGCCATCCTGCTGATCTAGCCACTCCTGAAGAGCCTGCCGCTCCTGCTGATCTAGCCGCTCCTGAAGAGCCTGCCGCTCCTGAAGAGCCTGCAGCTCCTGCTGATCTAGCCGATCCTGAAGAGCCTGCCGCTCCTGAAGAGCCTGCCGCTCCTGCTGATCTTGCTGCTCCTGAGAAGCCTGCAGTTCCTGCACCTGCACCTGGGCCGCTGGGCAGTGG